GAGAGAGAGAGAGAGAGAGAGAGAGAGAGAGAGAGAGAGAGAGGACTACTTTTGGGATCTGACTTCATCTACCTCTGAGGATGTATCTTGACATTGTGAGGTCGATATCTGAGACACTGTGAGACTCTGTGTTCACGACATTCCGGATTTTCGCTATTTCTGACATTTCGAGATACCATCTTTGGAAACATTGAGTTCACGTCATCTTCCCTCTCCTCCTCCCTTCGTCTCTCCTCCCCTCCATTCATCCGTGTATCCTCGTTGACCCTGGCCTTTTCTTCTATGCCCAAGGCCAGGCTTCACACACCACCGATGTATGTTTGTGAGTGTTTCGTTGCAGTCTGAGTCAGGTCCGAGTCAATCCATGTATCTCAAGTCTTCCGCTGTACTTATGTACTCTGTATTATCTGGTCGGTTCTGGGAATCTGCGCCATACTTATGACTGTGTTTCACGAGTATGCAACAGTCAGTTACTTGCCCCGCGTGGAATACACCCTGTCTCGCTGGGAGGGCACCAAAAGCAAGTTGGCCTCTCCCATACAGACATAATGAACGAATCGCAGTATTTTGCGGGCTGCACACAGAAGTCGATTCCGCCTAGGTCTAGGGGTCCTAGCTGTAGATGTTGCAGGCCTGGTCCCCTTGGGGACTTTCTTGCAATTCTTTAAATGTTAGGCCCTACCTGGATTCCGGTACTCACCCGTCGAGTCCGCAGGTCCTCCTATTTCGTTCTGTCCTAAGACTGTCTCCCTTTTCCCCCTTGTCCGTCTAGGTGCAGTGAGCCCTTACCACTTTTGCGTCTTTTGCCTCGGCATCACATCGAAATTCCTTACCCAAATTTAAGATTAAAAAATATATATAGTAATTAAATAATATTATTATTTATTTATTTATTTATTTATTTATTTATTTATTTATTTATTTATTTATTTATTGGCCCGGCCGGGCAATTGGTCCCTGGCCACTCTGGTAGCCTAGGCTAAGGGTTTGTTTCATTGCTCAATTTGGGGTTCGGGTTATCAGTATAGGCATGACACTCTAGGGTTTAGTGTTTTTTGCACCCACCCGAGTTTCTCCAGCACAATGGCATCGGGAAAGCCAAACGCAGCCGTTGACAGAGCAGACCCCACCAGCGCTAGTTGAGCGCCTGTATTTACCTGCGCACCGCAAGAGGAAGGTACCAAACACAACATCACAGCCAAGCCACAGCCTCAATCATGTAAACACCTTCAGTATCCTGAAATTAAAACATGATGATTCAGCGAAGTAGCACTTATGCTTGCTTTTTCGTCAACCCTTCAAAGGTAGCATGTCCACGAAAAACCCATGCGCGATGTCGTTGAAGCATCCAGAAATCCATACGGTGAAAGATCACAGAGCATTCCGAAAACTTAAGACTAGTTTCCCCAACCCGAAATCAACGGAGCCAAAGCACTGGTGAGACGGCGTAATAAGCCTTTGTCAGATCATTTATTTATAATAATAATAATAATAATAATAATAATAATGAGATTGTATTACAAAACAAGTTTGCGAAAGGCGCGTCTCCTGTCATTTCTTGTGACGGAGCAATTCTGCTGATGAGCCCCTGCAGAATGTCATGTGCTAGGAAATGGAATCCGTCTCCCATACAGAATACATGAGTTGCATCACGATGCGCGATGTAATTCAAGGGCCATGGGTTGGACCCATTGTGAGAGGAACCCTTGTGTGCCGTGAACATTCCGTCGAGCCTTGTGAGGAACATCGAAATCATAGGTGTATCTTGCTGGGAGATAACCTGGCCTGCAGCAGCCTGCTGCTGATCCCATTGATTCAAAGCATTCTCCGGTCTGCGCAAAGCAATGCTGACCAAAAAAGGCAATAAAACTTGTATATGTTGTCGCATAACTATGAACTAAAAGAGCGCACTTTGCAAAACAAACGGCAGAAAAAAAAAGATAAAAAACACAAGAAAAACATGAAGGGCATACTGAATCCATTAATTTTCCTCATTCTTCTTTTAACTCCCCCTTCACCGTGCCTCTCACGCCACGTTGATGAAGTTGAGCGCGACCTGTCCCCATCCCCGTGTACCATAACGGTCCACTAGTACGCTGTGAGAAAGAGACAGAGCGAAGAGGGAGAGAGGGAGGGGATAAACACAGGGAGGAGAGATGGAGAGCAGACAAACAAAGAACGATAAAGGCAAAGTAAGGGAAAGTTCGGAGCGTGGAGGCTCAAGGATGAATCTGTCCTTGATGACAGAGGACATACATTGTAAAAGGATGAGGGGGACGAACACATGGAAGACCTAGCTGAGCATTCTCAGTGCAACAATTGCCACGACGGCTGGCATTGAGCATGCCCACCATACACCCCCCACAAATGGCATGTCGATTGCAGGCCAGAATGACAGAAGAACGCTCACCACAAAAGACCATCCATAGCGTCTGCATGCGGATGGTGCCTGCAGTCAGGAACGGAGGGACAATCCTCTACACACATGGATGCGGAAACCATGTCATTCTAGTGATTGTGACAGAGACAATGGCGGCTACAGCCGAGTCTAACAGTGTCTGTAGCTGTGCAAAGGAAAAGGTCGCAGAGTGTTGGTACATTGCCCTGCGACAGCACGGGGCCAGAGGAATGATCTTCGACGGCCAGAAAACAGCATCATCATACAAGCATGGCGGCTACAGCCGAGTCTAACAGTATCCCACAGCATCTTCTAAGAATGTCTGTAGCAGAGTGTTGGTACATTGCCCTGCGACAGCACGGGGTCAGAGGAATGATCTTCGACATAAAAGAGATTGCGGACAGTTTGGTGTGGCCAGAAAACAGCATCATCATGCAAGCAATCAGTAACATCAGTCATGGCATTGCCCATGATGCCGTTGTCCCATAACTCCCAGTGGTCAGAGGCATATGTACAATGGCCATCTAATGGCCAGGTCCGTGCACAATGCAGGCAGAGATGTGGGATAGAAGACTAAACCACTCACCTGCTCAAGCATTGCATAGTTCAAGTTGGCGGTCCCTCATTGCTACTTGCAGGACACCAATGGTAAAGCCTCTTTCCCTGGTATAATTACAATCCTCTGCCTGTAGGCGCGGGAGATCGGCATCAAGCTGACGGGCGATTGCAAGGAAGTCTGATGGTGTATAAAACCGGCCAGTGGAGAACGTGAAGACAGATATTAGTTGCAGTCGGACCACAGAGAACGGTGAGGATCTCAGGCTGGTGTGTCGGATGCTGGTCAGACACATGGCAGATCTGCAAATGGTCGGAGATCCTCAGGCTGGTGAGGATCTCGCGCTGTGAGGATCTCAGGCTGGTGTGTCGGACACATGGCAGATCTGCAAATGACAACCCTATGTGGTCTGCGCGCGGTGAGGATCGCAGGCTGGTGTGTCGGATGCTGGTCAGCCATTTGCGGATCTGCCACGTGGCGTTTATGGTGTGTCGGATGCTGGTCAGCCATCACAGATTTCCCATGTGGTCTGCGCGCGGTGGGGCACAAATCTGTGATCCATCCAGACGATGCTGGTCAGCCATTTGCAGATCTGCCACGTGGTCTACGCCTTGTGAGGTTCACTGCAATCCAGGCAGATCATGTTCCAATCCCTCAACGTTTGGGGCCGCATCCTGAGTATACAGTCCCTGGAATTGGGAGTGTATTCTGGGGAGGGACCACATCCTGTTGGACAGGTGAGTCGTGAATATCTAACGCTGACGGGCATAAAACATGGTGCTGTGGCTGCCTGCAGGCAGTTTGAGTGTCTACAGGAGGCATAGGAGCGAATATTGTCGTTTGGAACAAAGAAACTGCAAGTTCTGCAACAACCTGTGGAGCAGGCACAGAGAGAATTGGGGCAGACAAAGAAAGAGGCTGCTGATCCCCCGACAAGTGACGATGGCGCGCATGTCGTCGACGAGGAACACAGGCACAGAGTGGTGTTGCAAACAGAAGATGATGAACATGTCCCTGGCAACGAAGGTGGAACAATGGGAACAATGGAAACTGGAGAGTCTGTTCGCGCGCGAGACTGTGGAGGAGACGGCAGTGGTGAGGAGGAAATTCGCCGTCTGCGGCCAAGCACAGAAAGGAATGAAAGGGGGGTGAATTGCGCAAGATTTTGAAACGAAGGGCGTGAGTGTCGCAGTGCCTGGTGTTCTTTGTACTGGAGCTGCGGCAGAGAAAGCTTTCGCAGCAAAACGTATAGTACGGGGAATTCCAGCTATAGAAACTGTTCTACTGAAGACTGCAGCAGAGGAAGTTGTAGTAGGAATTGCAGCAGTGGAAACTACAGTAGCAGAAACTGCCGGGGTAAAAACTGGATCTATGGAAACTGCAGCAGAAGAAACTGGAGCAGTGAAAACCGCAGCGGTGGAATCTGCAGCAACAGAGACTAGTGAAGCAGTGAAAACTGCAGTAGCAGAAACTGCCGGATTGAAAACTGGAGCTGCAGAAACTGCAGCAGTGGCAACCACAGCAGTGGAAACAGCAGCAGTGGAAACTGCAGTGGCGGAGACTGCAGTAGCAACTGTGCGAAATAGTTTGCCAATTACATGGCTCACTAACTCTACTTGCTTTGAGTTCTCTTACCTATATTTGTTGGGGTTTCGCTGGATCAAGTGACCAGTTTCCCCCGTGGACTTCCAGCTGTATGCTTTCTTTTCATTAAATTCATAATCCAAGCCGTTCAGACTTTACCACTTTTCTTCTTTCCGGCATATGACCAACAGCAGGCAGAGGGCCGAAGGCCAGCGTGCACTCGCGTGCTTGCCCATCCAAGATTAGAAAAACATTTGATTGTGCAACAAAATGAAAAATGTAATTACGACCAACAAAAGGTCACATAATTTGCTGCAAGAGCAGGACAAGAGCGACGTGGGGGCAAAGAAGAAAGTGGATGATGCAGGGACCATCGCGGCATGCGTCAGAACCAGTGAGAGAGAGGTGTCACATGTGAAGGGTAGCGACGTTGGCGGAAGCGCATGTAGCAGGTCCACCCCTTAGCAAGGGTTGGTGGCGAATGCCCTCAAGAAAGCATGCGATGAGTAAGTGTCGTTACCACAGTTCGGAAGTCCTCCCAATTGTTACAGATTTGTTCAAATCTGGTCAATTGTCCAGTGAACACATCCTCCGGTTGATGGGAAGGGATATTTGGGGTCGCACTTGGATAACAAATGATGACAGGGAAATCCCAAGCAGCTGCTTTATCAGACACGCTCATGCGAAGCAAGCCATCAAAACGGACCCGTAGATGCATACCTAAAAAGGTACACGAGCCATCTGTCACTGTAGTTTCCTTCCACTCAAGCCCATAGTGCTCTGGAGGAGGAGGTAATTGTCCCCCTGAAAGATCATCATCAATGAGGCGATAAGTGAAGGCGTACTGCCGAGCGGCTTGAAGATCATGTTGAGGAACGTCATCAACAAAGTGTGCTTCGTTCCAATACTGCGTCAGATTAGAAATTTCTCGGCCAGCATTTGTTCCCATTGGAATACCAACAATTTGCTTACTAAGTATGCCATCTCTCGTATACAGAGAAGTGTTTTGCGCAACAAAGCAGTATTGTTGCAGAATCTGCAAAACGGAAAGGGTGTCCGGGCCTGGATCGGTTGTCCATTGGCCACAACGAGGTCCTCAAATAGCCATGTGCAGGGCATTGCAGTGCGAGCGTATGCGACTATGCCGAAAGGCATACAAGGACATAAGCATGGGCTTCATCAACAACTTTTGCCACATTATTCAAAATGCGGTCATGAGGGAGGTTGGTAAAGTCAACAGTGTGAGGAGAGAGGCCACGAGGAGATGATGCATTGTTTTTCAAGTCAATCGCCACTTCATCAACACTCTGAAAGATCCAGCGCCGTCGAACACCACCTTGTTGATAGAGCTCAATATTTTTCTCACGAAGAGTAGAGATCACTCCTTGCAAAGCAGCGCTGAGATACGATGAAGTAGTCGTTGTGCTAGCCAATGGTTTGTGAGAAGGCCGTTCATGAATGGTGCGAATTGTTGGACGCGGGCGAGAGCGCGGGGGGCAGCACTGTTATTTTGAGCTGCGACTCCAAGAATGTTGCGATGAGATAAAGGAGAATTGTGAGCTTTGCACTTAGTACAGGTAATGTACTATGTAACAGGTAATGTACTATGTAACAGGTAATGTACTACGTAACTGTTTGAACGCCATGAACGCGCGTTCACGTTCAAATTCACGTTTGAACAGAGACTCGAGTTTGCATCCAATTTTGAACGGCGTTCATTTTTATTTTTTATTTTTTGTTTCTAAAATCCCATTTACAAACCCCCTATCCCAGTGGTGGTAAGAGAGCCAATAGGATTAAGGATTTGGTAGTCGGGTTGCTCCATCTATTCGTGGGGAGTGACACCTGCTGGAAACCAGGTCCAACGTCTCTCTCTCTCTCTCTCTCTCTCTCTCTCTCTCTCTCTCTCTCTCTCTCTCTCCCTCTCTAAGGACCTGTCTCTTATACACATCTAGATGTGTATAAGAGACAGCCATTGACGCCAGTCGTAATTAATTATGATACTTTTTTGTCGACAACCAGCGAAGCTGTTTTTATTTGAGTAACTACACACCTATTCCGGATGAATCAAATCATATTTGATTTTACCTTCGGAAAATCCATATACCCTTCAAATTCACAAATCCCATTGGTTGAAAAGAATCACAGACTTTTTGGCATTCTGAGCATTTTGTCATTTTCATTGTGCTTTCCGAACAAAAATTGAACAGAAAACCCGCGTTCAATGAACGCACAGTTTCATAGGTAAGGTAGGCTATCAGTGTGGGTGCAGCCCCGATGGTGACTCCATATTGCATGGCGATCAAGGACATCAGCAACGGAATCATGAGGGTAAGTGGGACCGTCCAAACGGGTGGAGAGATGAAACAGATACAATTCTTGCAGCAAATTGCCAAATTGTGTGATGTTCTGTCCGCAGGGACAATGGCAAATTGTTGTTGAAGATGGCGTAAGGAGGCATGTGTAGAACGAAGTGAATGTGGCTGGCTCGCATGAATGTGGCTGGCTCGCATGATTGGAGAACGAGGCTGCATTGGATTGACAGTGTGCAAGGATTGCAGAACGCCAGTCGTTCAACTTCTGAGAAAGAGACGAAAAAGGAGTAGATGGAGAATGCCCAGCCAACAACCTTTTGCAATTGTCAATGTACTGCCAGTGCCTAGAGCACATTGGCAGCTTCCCCATTCAGGCGATACGTTTGAGCCTTCTTGGAAAAGTTTGCAAAGGCTATCATCAGAGATGATATTGTAGTCAACAGACACAATATGGCCATCCACAAGATCAGAACAGTGCGGAAACGCTCTGCAGCATTCGCAATTTCAGGAGTCGAGTAACGTCATGCAAGGAGTAACAGTCAAGGCCACATCAGTGAAGTTACAAAACTGGACACATGTGGGTGGCATCAGTTTGTCACATACGTGAACATGTGTGGCTGCTCAAGGGCTGGGGTGCAATGCAACTACTTCCGGCAAGAGTAACACATGGTGCAGGTTCGTAGCACGAACTACCTCATGCATATGTACGACCTTGATGTGGTCAGTAAATCGGTCACGAGGTTGTGCTGTGTAATGTTGGCGAGTATGCTGGGATTTTCAGATGAGGCATTCGAGTTCTTGAGCGACTGCTTTCATGTCCGCTTTGGAGACATTGTTGTAAAGCCATTGCAAAAGCCGGACCCGCCATGCTGGTGCCGCTTGCTCAATATCAGCCTTGACACGGCACCAGTTACCCGAAGCAGCTTCAGCGAGAAGGCGATGCAGCAAGGTACGAATTATAAGTTTGGGAGCCGGACAAAGGTCAACAACAAATGACCTGACCAAAGGTGTTGACAAGAGAGGTAAACTGTAATGAACCCAGTCTGACAGATACTCAGAAGTCGTCAAATACCTGTAGAGTCAGTATCCGCAGCGAAGTCTCCAATTCGTGAAGAAATATATCAAACAGTATCTCATTATCACCAACAGAAGAGAGTGGAGGGGGAACAGACAAAGGAGAAGATGAAGAATCACACAATAATCCCTGCTGGACCCTCTCCTTCTCCGAGCTTCTCCCCTCTTCACATCAACAATGATAATAAGTATATTCCTGATCACACACCGAAGTGCCACGTGGCACTCAATCTCGTGAAGACCATGAAGACATTGCAGATTCCAGTATCGACTTCAAACCCAGGTGAGTACCCGTTCTCCCTCAACCACAGATCCCGATCTTCCTCCTTCCTTGCAACCAGTCACCTCATGTAGGCAGCGTGGACAATGCCACGTCAACTATAGAAACAGGGCAATAGCCACATCATCAACGTAGACTAGTAACAGCGCCACATCAGTATGCCACGTAGACCAGAGGCAGCGCCACGTCAGCATGCCACATAGACCATAGGCAGCGCCACGTATACCAGAGGCAGCGCCACATCAGCATGCCATGTAGACCATAGGCAGCGCCACGTATGTCAGAGGCAGCGCCA